ACATATAACTGGCAATATGCAGGCAGAACATCTTGATCAGGTTTAAAAAACCAATACGATGCATAATTTGTCTGCAAAACAGGGTGGGCCATGATCTGACAGAGGAACTCTTCTGACTTCGAATGAAGCAAAAGGTAAACAGGCATTATAATTTAAATATGCTTGAAGAAATTTTGATTCATAGCACTATCAACATGGTTGCCTGTCATTAAATTACACATGAGTGGGTGATAAGGCGAAAGTGGAGCTAACACAACTTTTCCTGAATGGCAACACAAAACATATGTTTCATTTTAAAAAATTTTAGCACCACAATAGTGACAAATATGGTTCTCCAAGGTAATTACTCTCTATAAAAACATTATTTCATGCTATGCAATGCATTCCACGTCTAAGTAATACTTGTCTAGCCTCATTTCATGTTGTTGATGATTAATTTGTCTTGTCTAGCCTCATTTCTTTCATTTTGGTGACAATTTCATCTCGTCTAACCGAATTTCTCTCATTCCGACATTTTCTTTTAATTTCAGCTCTGAAGTTATTTGACATAATTAAGAAACTATGTTAAGTTTGATAAAACTTGATTTGATTAATTTTTAATCTAAAATTAACTAACATTATATGTGCAGATATAATTATTGATATAAATTCTTTAAAACTATTTATATTTTTTCTAATAAAAACTTGTTAACTAAAGCCTAAACTTAACATGTTGAAAACAGAGAAAAATATTAGTTAAAATACTAAGTATTATACTTTAAGTAATAAAACAAAATATTTTTAAAACAAAGTGCTGCGACTCTTTCTTGCCATTACCTCACATGCCATGGCTGCTAAGAGTTCTGTGTCAAACACGCTCAAAAGGGCGCTATTACTATCAAGTCCAGCATTATTATAAAGATATATATATATATATATATATATATATATATATATATATATATATATATATATATATATATATATATATATATATATATATATATATATATATATATATATACAGGTCTCAGCAGGCAAGCGAGAGCTTTAGCTCTGTTAAAAGAAAAATGAACTTTTTTTCTATATTTTTTTAATTTTTAAAAATATTTCTTAAATTTTTTAAAACACATGCTTTACTTCAACAATATTTTTTTTAAACAATTATGCGGTTGATAGTTTTTTATTTATTATAAAAAACACATATTTATGATAAAAAACAATTAGTTACTAAAATTTAAAACACATTTTAAAGACTTAAAAAGAAACCGTGCTAAAGCATGATTATTTCTTTCAGAAGCATAACTGTTAATTAAAATAACTAAGTACGCTATGAAAGATAGTAATTATGTTTTAGCATGGTTTTGCATACGTTAACAAAAGTATGCAAAATTTTACTTAAAATGAATGCATTTGCAAATATATCAAAAGAAACCATGCTTAAACATTACAATTGCTTTTTTTCTATAACAGCTTTTTTTAATTTTTTTTATTTTAATTTTCTTTTTTTTTTAAAGAGAAGTAATGTTTGATTGCATATTAAAAACACTTTTAAAATGCTTAAAAAGAATATTTAAGTTTTGTTGAAATATATAAAATTTGATAAAATATTTAGAATTAATATGTTATAGTTGGTATTTTTTATTGTCCGTTTAAAAACGCCATTAATATGATATTTTGATTAACTTATTATTAAATGCCTAATATGATATTATTTTTAAAAGTTTAAAAAAAGAAATGTCAAAACAACTTTTATTATATTTTTAAGTTTGTACGTTTTTTTTTTTTAAATAAATTTATCAAACTAAATTGAGAAAAACTCATTATTTAGTATCGATGGATAACAGTTTACAATTGCTAGGTTATTGCATATTAATTATCATTAATTTGCACGCACTTTGCAAATGCGTAAAAAATTATTTTGAAGAAATAAAAATTATTTTAATTTAGTAAGATTCATTGATATATCAATTAATTTATTAGCTAGAATAAAAATCATTTGAAAATAAAACTTCCTTATGACATATCTCTTGAGCTAGATGTTTGTCATTAAATTAAGATACGAATGTCAACATTTAAAAAGAAAAAAACGACTTGTCGTGCCCTGGACTTGTAACAAGTATAAAATCTGTTTTTCAATTTTGTTTTTTAATAAGCAACTTTTTTAATGAATAAACAGATTGCTCTCACAAAAAACAAAAGCTCTCCTAAGAACCAAATGCTATTTAGAGAATCAGCTCAATTAGCTTGCCATGTTTTTTTTTAGGAGAGCTTTTTGCTGCTCTCGCACTCATTTCTTCTTGCCAAGGCCTATATATATATATATATATATATATATATATATATATATATATATATATATATATATATATATATATATATATATATATATATATATATATATATATATATACATATATATATATATATATATATATATATATATATATATATATATATTTATATATATATATATATTTATATATATATTAGTTTTATATATATTTGTTTTATTATAATACAAAACAGTTAAAATATATATATATATATTAAATATATATATAATATATATATATATACATATTATATATATATATATATATATATATATATATATATATTATATATATATATATATATATATATATTATTTATATATCTATATACTAATATACATATATATATATATATATATATATATATATATATATATATATATATATATATATATATATATATATATATGTATGTATATATATATATGTATATATATATGTATATATATATATATATATATATATAAATATTATTTTTTTAATATATTTGTTTTATTATAATACAAAACATTTTTAAATATATATATATATATATATATATATATATATATATATATATATATATATATATATATATATATATACATATATATGTATATATATATATATATATATACATATATATATATATATATATATATATATATATATATATATATATATATATATATATATATATATTTATATATTTATATATATTTATTGGTATTAAAAATTATTTTGTATTATAATAATATAATAAAAGCCATAACTGTTAAAGAGTGCTCAATATTAAAATATTTTAAGTAGAGCTATAAACATATTTATGAAGATAAAACAACTTTTTCTATGGTACTTTAGGTTTCATGCCTACACGGCAATCATCAGCCATTGAATACAAAATCAAAAACAAAAATCCTGTCAAAAATTACAAAATACTGTGTTGTGGAATATATGATGCTAAAAAATATACTTGATAGCGACCAAAGAAAAAAAAAGGATTAGCTAATCTTAGGTGTAATTAGGTGTCAAAAAATAATAATAATAAGAGGAATTTATTCTTGTGCGTTTTGAAATCAACTTGTTTTGTTTATTTAACAAATTTTCACCTTAATATGTTAAAATGAGAATTTTCATGTAAGCAAAGATTGCAGATTTTTGACGAGGAGTTGTAAGAATTGCAACGCTTCACAGTTTTCCACTTAATTCAGGGTGTGAACATTTTGTCTTTTATGTCCCAAATTTCTTTAGACAACTCAGTATCATTTTTATATTAGCATACAAGATTTAAATGGAGTTTCATGCCAAAAATATACTTTTTCTTTGTGGTCAGGTTTATTAAATTTAACACAATGGCTTAATAAATGATGTTCTCTGTCAAGCATTGATTGTTCATTGGACAGATGGATTTGTTGACATAGTTGCATGTTTTTTCCTCAGCTGTACCTTGGTTATATAATATCCTGTGATTATGCAAATCAATGATGAACTTGACATTTGGCATACATGAGTAGCTTATTTTAATAGTATTTTGGTTAAATATCTTGCGAAGATTGTGACCAACCAAGTTTGAAATCTTCTTTTTCTGCATGTCTTACTAAAGTTAAAACTGTTTGTTTTTGGTGATAGTCTGTTTTCTGATAGTCTGTTTTTATCCCCTAGCACATATTTCTAGCTAGTCTTTGAAGAAAATTCTTCTTTCTATTCTTCTAGTCTTTGAAGAAAATTCTTCTTTGAAGCTGCAGAATGACAATCCTTTTGATTTCGTTTAAAATGCATTTGCTTCAAAAAAAGTCTTTTGACTTTTCTGCACCAAATGCAGTTGAAACAAAGTTGTTTTTTTTTGCTTCATCATTAGCTTCATCATTAACTTCATCATTAGCTTCATCATTAGCTTCATCATTAGCTTCATCATAAGCTTCATCATTAGCTTCATCATTAGCTTCATCATTAGCTTCATCATTAGCTTCATCATAAGCTTCTTCATTAGCTTCATCATTAGCTTCATCATTAGCTTCATCATTAGCTTCATCATTAGCTTCATCATTATCTTCATCATTAGCTTCATCATTATCTTCTCTTTGAAATGTTCTTGTTTAACTATTTCATTAAGAGTTTTTGTTTTTTAGTTTTTTCAATGCTCACCATTCCTCATAGAAGTGCTGACCATTCCTCATAGAAGTGCTGACCATTCCTCATAGAAGTTCACAATTTTGTTGCAAGTATTTTGTCTTGCCTTAGTGGACTTTTTCATAAATATTTTATATAATGTTATATATTAAGTGTTATATACATATATAATATAAATTAGTAAAAAATAACTTAACAGTTTTTTTTTTTTCAAAGTTGTTATATAATATATATTGTTATTTGATTTATAACACACAGCATATATAAACATTTATTTTATAAATGCATTAATATAAGTTTTACACAATAATGATGGATGGTTTGTGTGAGTGAATTATATACCATGTGTGAGTGGATTATATACCATATTGTTTTTTATACATTTTTGTTTTCATAATTTCTTTAGAGATATTTTTCTAGTAAAGATTTAAAAAAATAAAATTTATATAAATAATTTTTATAAATAATTTTCTACCTCATTCTTGAACTTCATTTTAGAACTTTTATTTTATCTATTTATTTGTTAGTTTTTTCCAACTTAGAGATTTTAAAAATAGAATTAACTTTTTTTTTTAGAGTTACAATCAAATTGTAGATTGTATAAACAGAATTAATAAACTTGAAGACATGCAGTTGCTCTGTGAAAATCATGGAACAAAGCGCTTACCAGCAGAGCAATCTCTATTTACTTGCTATGTAAGAGTTCTAAATATTATTACTGTTTTGGTATTTCAAGCATTAAAAATATTTTGAGATATTTATAAAGTATTACTTATTAAGTGGATTATTTTGCTGAATTTATTAGGAGGATGACTTTACTAACACAATGAATAATATAAGAAGAAAGATGGCGTTGGAAAGCAAAATTTCAAAACTTGCACGATTGCTTGTTGCTGAAAGAAACTCAATTAGAGGTTGTTTTTTTTGTAATACCATTAAAGATCATGATAAAATGATTTTGTATTTAAAAAAAAAATTATATGTTTAAATTATAAAAATTGAAAACTAAATTTTGTTATAACTAAAACATTTTACTTAAATTTTGTATTATTTACATTTTATTCATTACAAATGTTTTACTGTTATCATCATAACACCTTAAATACATGTTGTATAACTTTCCTTTAATTTTTAAAAATTTATCTATGGCTGTTTGACCTTGGAATTTTTTTTCTGACTCTTGCTCTTGATTTTTAGTATTCAAATATTTTAATATCAATTTATACATTTTTACATTTTTTTATTTATTTTTTTTTTTGTTTTAATTCACCTCCTCAAGGCCGAGAAGGCCACTACAGACGAGGAGGCTACTTATTTGTGGCTATAACCCTCTCTCAACTCTATAACTTCGAAACATAAACCTTGATGAACAAGGCCGCTGCGCGGAGAAACGAGTTGAGCGCGGTACTACCAGAGACGTGGTGAGGATCGAACTCCGAACCACTCGTTTATGAAGCGAGCGCTCTACCACTACACCACTGCCGCATAATTTATACATTAGCATTAGTATAAATATGAGTAACAACAAAAATAATATAAAATAACAACTTCACTTCTTTTATAACTGCTTGAACATATAAATTAAGATAAACACACCTCTCTACAGAGCTAAACAAACACAAGTTATTTCCTTAATGTTTTTTTATTTATTATTTTTTTAAGAATCTTTGTCTCTTTGTGTAAAGAATATACTTATAATCTAAACTATTTTCAATAGATAAAATATCTTAAGATAATATATTAAGATATAAATACCTTTCAGATGAAATATTTTTTAAATCATTTTAAGTTAGCAGTTTCAACCTAGCGATCAATTTGGAAAACTGGTCAATTTGGAGAGTATTGTAAAAAAATAAAGGGTAATTATCAAAAATAAAAACTTATCCGATAAATCTTTACATATTTGATAATTCAATTAATAATCAATTATTGCTAACTTGTTAGAGCAGTTCCATATCAATTATAAAATTATTTGGGTTTTAAGTTTATTTTTTTAATCAGGTTATTCTGTCTCCATATTTATTGAGATATAATTAAGTTTGGATGATATGTTATTTTTATTTCTGAGAAATAACAGATCTTTGCAAACATTCGTTGTCTTTATAACATTACTTTGATAATTTTAAAACTATTTCAGTATTTCAAATATACTATATATATATATATATATATATATATATATATATATATATATATATATATATATATATATATGTATATAGTATATATATATATATATATATATATATATATATATATATATATATATATATATATATATATATATATATATATATATATATGTATATAGTATATTTGAAATACTTATATATATATATATATATATATATATATATATATATATATATATATATATATATGTATGTATATATATATATATATAATATATATATATATATATATATATATATATATATATATATATATATAATATTATATTATTGTATATAAAATAGCAACTTTTGTAGTAAAGTTGTCAACTTGTTTCTCCACGCAGCGGCTTTGTTTGTCAAGGTTTGTGTTTCGGAGTTACAGAGTTGAGATAGGGTTATAATCACAACTAAGTAGCCTCCTTGTCTGTAGTAGCCTTCTCATCTTTGGGGAGTTGGATTAAAAAACATTTAAAAAAAAAAAGTTCAAACCAACCATATCTTAAGTCCCAGATTTTGTTGGAATTTCTATTGTATTTATTTAATTTTTATTTCAAATAAATATAAACATTAATTATCTTTTGTGTTTAATTAAAATAAAAATATAATTTTTCTGATTATAGGTTTAAGTCGATTAAACTCCGTGTATGAAGATACACCAAGCTACTCAACTGAGAGTGTTCAACAAAATATTATGCTTCAGTTTAATCAGGTCATTAATTGCAAGATTAAATTATCAATTTAATATTAATAACAGTGTAATATATAATGTAATTATTCAGGCTATTTATTTTATTTTCAGTTTTATAAATATAAATTTTTTTATTACAGATGAAGAGTATGATTAATCTTCTAGAAGCGAGTATTTATAGACTTAATATTTCTCTTTCTAAAGTAACACAAATGCCTCCTCCTACACACAAGTTATCATCATTTATAATGGATTCTAAAGATAAACAAGTATGTCTTTTGATGGTTATATATATATATGAATAAAAAATTTTCAACTAATAATTCTGTTTTTTTATATAATGAATTTTCTTAATGGGTAATTATTCTTATTTTTTTCAAAAACATGACAAATATATATTGATAGCTTAAATATAGATAAAGATATAGATATAGATAAATATAGAAAAATATAGATAAAATAAAGATAAATGTATATGTATGGTACAAGTATATTGATTGCTTAAATATTTTTTATGTTTTGTGGCACAATGTGATTAGCACAATGTGGTTAGCACAATTTGATTAGCACAATGCAAAATTTTCCATTTTTTCTTGTTTATGCTATTTTATTGTTTACTAGGTTTGATAAGAAAATGATACATTTTTAAACTACATAAACATTTTTTTTGTGTATTCATTTTTTTTGTGACTTCTTAAGATTTTTTTATTTAAAGTACTAAGTTTTTTTTTTTAATTTATTTTTTTTTAAGTTATTTTATTTTATATTTTTGATCTAAATAGTCACATAGTTGTGACTTTTTTTTTTTTTTTTTTTTTTTTACATTTACTAACAGGTTAGTAAGCCAAGCCATTAATCAAAAAAAAGCTTTTTTTTTTCTAATTATGTAATCATTTTAGTATTTTAAATGCCATGAGATAACTTGGTTGATTAATATATATGTATAAATTTTATTGCAAAATGAACATTAAATGTCTGCTAGAACAATGATTGTTAAAAAAATTTAAACAACCATATAAAATGGAGCCACCAGTATATTGTCTTACATTTCACAATACTTTGCAAGGAACTTCTTCCAGATTATCCTGCTTAGGAAGAAGCTTACATTAGAAGCTCAAGTTAGATAAGTGTTTTTTTACTAATTTATTACTGCTCTGTTCTTTAAGAACATTGAGTACTCTTTTTGTTAAATGTACTAACATATTTGACAAGTAATTGCTCTTAAGTTATAAAAATGATCTCCAAAATGGTAGATGTAAAAAATGTGTGTTTTATGAGAATAATATTGCACAAAAACTGTTTACTTATGATCATTTTAAAATAAAAAATGTTCAGAAAACAACTTTTAAATAAGATCCTTTGATTCACAACTTTTAAATTTTTTAAGTTTAAAAGATATGGAAAAAGAAAGAGTGAAGAAAACAAAAAAAAATTGAAAAAAAAATGACACAAAAACTATAAAACTTAGGTTGCTGCTTAATTTGACAATAATTGCAAAGCAACCATTATATAGTAGCCAAAATACAGTCAAATCACAAAATACAATCACAAGTCACAGTCACAAAATACAGTGACAAGTCACAAAACACAGTGACAAGTCACAAAGCACAGTCACAAAGCACAGTGACAAGTCACAAAGCACATTGACAAGTCACAAAGCACAGTCACAAAGCACAGTGACAAGTCACAAAGCACAGTCACAAAGCACAGTGACAAGTCACAAAGCACAGTCTCAAAGCACAGTGACAAGTCACAAAGCACAGTCACAAAGCACAGTGACAAGTCACAAAACACAGTGACAAGTCACAAAGCACATTGACAAGTCACAAAGCACAGTCACAAAGCACAGTGACAAGTCACAAAGCACAGTCACAAAGCACAGTGACAAGTCTCAAAGCACAGTGACAAGTCACAAAGCACAGTCACAAAGCACAGTGACAAGTCACAAAGCACAGTCACAAAGCACAGTGACAAGTCACAAAGCACAGTCACAAAGCACAGTGACATGTCACAAAGTACAGTCACAAAGTATAGTCACAAAGCACAGTGATAAGTCACAAAGCACAGTCACAAAGCACAGTGACAAGTCACAAAGCACAGTCACAAAGCACAGTGACAAGTCACAAAGCACAGTCACAAAGCACAGTGACAAGTCACAAAGCACAGTCACAAAGCACAGTGACAAGTCACAAAGCACAGTCACAAAGCACAGTGACAAGTCACAAAGCACAGTCACAAAGCACAGTGACAAGTCACAAAGCACAGTCACAAAGCACAGTCACAAAGCACAGTGACAAGTCACAAAGCACAGTCACAAAGCACAGTGACAAGTCACAAAGCACAGTCACAAAGCACAGTGACAAGTCACAAAGCACAGTCACAAAGCACAGTGACAAGTCACAAAGCACAGTCACAAAGCACAGTGACAAGTCACAAAGCACAGTCACAAAGCACAGTGACAAGTCACAAACCACAGTCACAAAGCACAGTCACAAAGAGTTACTAGCAAAACAATCTGAGTAGTAAAGAAATTTGCCAAAAAAATGCAGACACTTTATGTTAAAATGCAGACACTTTATATTAAAATTTTTAGAAAAACTTTAATTTTAGATGATGAATCTTATTTCGCTTTGACAAGCTAAGTACTATTAGTACCTATAGGTACTATTTCCAAAGAGTTTCTAGAAATGGGTATTATTCCAGTGATGCCAAGAGTTCTTTTCCTGGCCTCAAATACAACAGAAAAGTTAAATTTGAAAGCAAAGTATGGTGTTGCTTGCAATTAGTTCCAAAGGTATGACTAGAACAGTAATCAAGCAATCTATCTGTTCAGTTAATGAAAATGTGTCAAAAAGGATTCATTCAAAATATTTTAATTCTGTTTATACATGAATATGCCAATTAAAATATTTAAAAGCCAGCACAAAAACAATTATGTTTTGGTGCTGGCTTAGCTTTTGCTCATTATGCCAAAAAATATAATCACTTTGCCTAACAGTAAAAATCAATTATATTCTTATAAGAAATATTAATCCTGTCAACTATGCTGAGATAAGACCAACTGAAGATTTCTGAGTTTATTTAAAAAATTTTTAAGGGAATTTGGAAAAAAGTGGAAGCCAAAAATTTAATTGAATGGATTGGAAAAATAATGTGTTGTTTTAAAAGTCTTAAAGTATTTTACAAGCTTAAAAGAAGATTGAATTTAGTTTGCCTTAAAGGAAAACCAATAAAAAATTGATTAACAATGTTAAATGTACATTAGTCCAGCAAATTTAAATAAATTTGTTTTTCTTAAAAAATATTTTTATCTACTTTATTTTATCTTTATACTTATAACCTATTACAACTAATAATATAATAGTGCTCTATTAACAAACAGCATAAATATTAACAAACAGCATATCTATTAACAAACAGTATGTCTATTAACAAACAGCATATCTATTAACAATAGGGGTATGACTAAAAACATATTTCATTTTTTCGGAAATGGCATAATGGCAAAAGATGAACTTTTACTTGTATTAACTTAAAATAGTAATACTTTTTTCCAAATCGAAAAAAAACTCCTCCACCAGTGCAGATGAAAGTTTGGTCCCAGCTGTCTAAAAATGTAAAAAATTCAAGTTTTTCCATTTATAGTAGGAGCAGGGTCACTTAACAAAATTTCAAAAATACCATGATTATTTAAAAACTTTGGTATATAAAATTCGCCGAATGGTCACACACGAGCAGTGAACGCCTGAGGGAAGAAATGAAGTACATTAGAATAAAGGAGAATTATTTATTAGACAAAGCATATTTTGACAGTTGTCAAGACAAAAATAAAGATTAATTAGAGGAATATTTAAAAATAAATAAGACAGGCTATACACCCACAACAATAATAACAATAAAAAAAAAAAAGAGAAAAAAAAAAAAAATTGTTTTATAAACACCAATATGAACGAAGATATACATCACCAGACAAAAACTTATAAAACAAAAAACGGATCATAAAATAAAAAATCTGATAACAACAATGAAAGGCATTTAATGTTGTTATCAGATTTTTTATTTTGTTATGTTTTTTGGTAAGATTTTTGGTTAGATTATGTTATGTTTTTTGGTAAAAATGATGGGAAGAGTTGATCTTAACTATTTGCAATCATGTGTATTTGAGAGGTTGGGGGGAGGGGGATTTTTTATTATTATTATGTACATTAAATATAAAACATTTTTGTAATTGTACATTTTTTATTTAAAGAAAGACTATTTTATAGTTTTTATCCGAAAAATTTTATCAGTTGTTTTAAATTTTAAACAATTATAAGCTACAGCCATTAAGTTTGCTTCTCCGTCTGATAGTTAGGAACACTCGCAACAAATGTTTACACTGGCAACAAATGTTTATTGGAATTTTGCTGGAAAGACTAGTTTTTGTTTTTAATATTCAACTATTTTAGAAACTTGAAACCGTTTGTCGCTCGTAAAACAGTTTTTACTTGTCAATACTTTTACTGTCAATGCTTAAGTACTGTCAACTGTAATAATTAAACTTTAAAGCAGTATGGTTAAAATATGACTCAACTTTAAATGAATGTTAGAAGTCCTTTTTTGAAATTCTCTTTAGCTGATGGCACCATTACAGACTAAATAAAGGCTAATGGAAAAGTAGGGAAAAGCTAGGGGTGTACTGAAGCCAAGAATTTACTGTCAGAAAATTGGCAATTTGCTTCGTCAGTAGCTGAAGCTGAAACTATAAAATAGTCTTTCTTTAAATAAAAAATGTACAATTACAAAAATGTTTTATATTAAATGTACATAATAAAAATAAAAAAAGCACCCTCCCCTCCAACCTCTCAATCACACATGGTTGCAAATGGTTAAGATCAATCATTATTTTTACCAAAAAACAAAACTTAATCATTTTTAAAATCATTTTTACTAAAAAAGATAGATCAAGCTACGAAAATAACTCTCATGGTATTTTTGAAATTTTGTTAAGTGATCTCTGCCCCTACTATAAATACAAAAACTTAAATTTTTGCATTTTTAGACAGCTGGGACCAAATTTTCATCTGCACTGGTGGAGGAGTTTTTTTTCGATTTGGAAAAAAGTATTATTATTTTAAAATAATACAAGTAAAAGTTCATTTTTTGCCGCTATGCCATTTCTGAAAAAATGAAATATGTTTTTTAGGCACACCCCTAATTAACAAACAGCATATCTATTAACAAACATTTTGTACAAATCAAAAGTTAATAGAAGTATTGAATGTAACAAAGTTTATATTTATAAAAAAATTACGAGTTATAAGTAGTTACACCAAAGTCAATTTAATTTTCAATTATAAATAAGTTCAGAGAGAACTGTAAATTATCATAAAAGTAAGAAATATGTTCAGAGAGAACTTTAAATTATCATAAAAATAAGGAATATGTTCAGAGAGAACTGTAAATTATCATAAAAATAAGAAATGTTCAGAGAGAACTGTAAATTATCATAAAAATAAGGAATATGTTCAGAGAGAACTGTAAATTATCATAAAAATAACGAATATGTTGAAATCAAATAAACTCATTATAAGTATTATTATACAATTATAAATAATTATTAATAACAATTATAAATTATAGTATATATTATACAATTATAAATGAGTTCATAGACAATATAAATAATTATAAAAATAAGGAATATATTAAAATCAAAACAGATATATAATAAATATACACAAATAATAATAAAAATAAAGGAAATCAATTTTGATACAACTAGTAGTTGTAGGTAAAAAATTAAAGGCAATATTGAAAAATCTTAGTAAAGGTGCAAAATATGCAAAATGATAAAAAACTGATCAACGTTAAAAAAAGGAATAATAATAGAAAGAATTTATTAAAGTTGATGTAAGTAAAATTTCAATTTTTTATTCAAAAAAGTAAACACCTAATTTAAAAGATTTCATCATAAATTATTTTTTATTACTATTACTATTTATTACTGTGTATTTTTTACTATTTATTGTTATATTTATTACTATAAAACGCGTTTAAAAAATTCTCAACAGTTCGTGGATACCACAAGATTATGGGAGTTAGAAGAATAAAATTCAGATCTCCTTTGAGGTTGTTAAGACCCTTTGGTCTCGATTAAAGAAGCAATTATTCTACTAGTTGAAAGATTAAGAAACAACCAGAGCTTTATATTATAATTTTTGAAGAGGTCAGGTTACTTTTAGAACTTTGTCTTTCTCACTGCTATTATTTATAAAAAAATCATATTCATGAATTTAAAAACTCAGGTTTTATGGTGGTGTTTGCTAAGTGTTTTTTACAGTATTATGAACATAATGCTCTCTCAATGACGCTTAACAGTAACATCTAAGTGAAATCATTTTAAAAATATGTTGGTGATATACATTTAAGGTTTTGGGTAGAAGAAAATGCATAAAAGTTTTAAGATCTACTTAATAAACAACATAAAAGTATTCATTGCATATTCAATACACAATGGAATCTGCTGACTTAACAAATAAATTAAACTTGATGTTCCAGGGTTTGGGGTTCATGGCATGAATTTAATTTAATTTTAACGTTTGCAATTACAAACGTTTAAATTAAATTGAGTTCATGCCATGACCCCAAAGTTATCAATGTATTTATTGGTTTTGTCTATATATAGTAGAAAACAGTGTACGACATCATAAGTTTATGCTATGACATGTAGGTGTTTCTTTATTAATGATATTTTTAATTAGCATGATATTGATGAAATTTTTTGTGTGTGTGTGCATTGAGTTATGTTTTGTGAGGGGGGGGGGGGGGGTGGTAGGTTTTGGTGTCAAGGTGGTAGTTTTTGGTGTACATATCATAACTTTTCTTTTATTTGTATAGTCACTTGCGTTGAGAACAATAATACTGACTCTTTCAGTTTGGTTAATGATTTTATATTCAGTTTGGTTAATGATTTTATTGGTTAATGATATTATATAATTGGTTGATGATATTACATGATTGGTTAATGATATTATATAATTGGTTGATGATATTGTATGATTAGTTAATGATATTATATGATTGGTTAATGATGTTATATGATTAGTTAATGATATTAATCAATATAAGGATAGTTATTAAACATTTAAGATATGTTAACAAATAAAATCATATGCTAATAAAAAAAATCAATGTCTTAAATTAGCAAATAATTTTGAATGTTTATGTAAACAGATATAGATTCTAAAATAAGTTAAGTAGATAAATCTCAACAAAAAATATTTTACTTATTTTTTGTTTATTAATATAAACAAAATATAAGCAAAATAATTAATATATGCGCTATGTAAAACTTACATACTATAAAGTATGTAAAAGTTAAATATGTTAGGTTTAAGTATGTAAAAGTAAACTTAGTTAGTAACCATAGTTTACAAAAAAAAAATTAGATGTACATAATAAGTAAATTTTGTACTTTTATTCATAGTTATATGTGTACATAACATTATATGTTAAATCGTGGGGTTGTTTTTTAATGGTGAAAAGGAAAAAATGAAATTAATGAAGTAAAGCAATAAGAAAGTTAATGAAGCATTCTTGTGTATTGTTTATTGGGCATTTTTATGTATTGTTCAAATTGTCATGTGTTTAGATTGCCCTATATTTTTTTTTAGTTTAATGTTGCTTATTTTTCTTATAATTATTATTATCGTGGGTATTATTATTTTTAGTTTTATTTTATTTATTTTATTCATTAAGACTAATCCAAAGTAGTGTCCGTTATTGACCAACATTTTTGCGTACCGAAGTACTACTCAAGCGCTGAGTTGGTTGTGGGATTTGAACCCGTATTGTTCAACAGTCCGGGTTTTAACTTCTCCTTTGACGCTCTAACCATCTGAGCTATCCTGCCACAGTAGTATGACCAACTTAAAATAAACTATGGAGGTATTACAATTACATGATATTACAATGTGTATAGGCTAGGGCTTAGATTTTTCCTCAGCATGTTTTTTGTACTCATAAAATTGAAATAAATTGAGCATTAGGGCAGGAGAAGTTTTTCAAGCTTGATAAAAGCAACTTAAGAACCTTGCTTATCTTGTAAAAGAAAACTCTAATATAAAACCCCCACTTTGATTGTTAGTAAGAGTAGGAGGAGCTCGTAAACTTTGGGGTTTACAAGCTCCTCGCGCTTAAATACTCTAAATTAATTGGAATAATCCTAAAACACTTTCAGTCATCCAAAATTAATATAGTAGAAAAATCAGGGAGACAATTAAAGTAGACAGATTTTTTGGGTAGCAATGTTGCTACCCAAAAAAAAAAATTCTACACCAGAATAATGGCAACCTAGTAATGACTCCATTACTAGGTTGCCAATACCATTGTAAACCATTTATTGTTAAATATAAATAACTTTTATAATATTACGCAGCAATGACATCATTGTGAATAACAAATTTTTGTAACGTGTTTTTGTAACAATTTAATAAGTTAATAAATAGTATGTCACCAGAACAAATGATGTATTTTCAATTTATATATATATATATATATATATATATATATATATATATATATATATATATATATATATATATATATATATATATATATATATATATATATATTAATGTTTTGTATTGTTATTATAATTTGTAAATAAAATTTTATTACTCATTAATAATTTATATACATTTTTTTTTTTTATATTTATAATTTGTTAAAAAGTTTCAAGATTTAAATTATTAAAAAATTAAAAATATTTCCAGAGTTGAACTTAATTAATTTTATTTTTAACTCAGATTCTACAGAAAGTATATATATATATGCATACATACACACACATACATACATATATACATACATACATACATACATACATACATACATACATACATACATACATACATACATACATACACATCTACACTACCTACTTGCACACATTAAAGACGAAAAGCTTAAATATATTTATCGACATTGTTTACAGGGAATCGGAAGCTCTATTCTTTGTGTTCCAATTGATTTTGGTAACAGCGATAATTATGAAGAAGAAAATGCTTACGAGACAACATCAAGTCATACCCCTGTATATGATACTTTAAACCGTTATGAGAGCGATGATGAAGATTTTGATCCGGACTTTGATGACGTAGATTCTGATGTTTGTGATGGACAAGAGAGTCAACCAAATGGTTGTTTTTTTGTTGTTGTTTTTTTTTAAAGAGGGACGATAATAGTCTTTATTAAGTTTACTTTTCTACCCACGACGTTTTTTATTTGTGTACTTTTAAATTATTTAGTTCAACGTGAAAAAATCATATGTGTTGCGGATTTTGATTATACTGCGGCAGCAGTAGATGAACTCACAATTCGACGTGGAGATCGCATATCCGTACTGGTGCAACATGACGACGGATGGTGGAAAGGCGAGTCAAGAGGCAAACAAGGATTATTTCCTGCAACCTATGTTCACGAGCTTAAGTCAAAAAAATGATTTTTTTTATGTACATTTAATTATGCTTACCTAAAATACACAGCAGATGCATTTCTTGCCGGTGTGTACAGAATGTATGTATTTAAATGTTGACTTCTTCCTCATCCCACTTACTGAATTCATTCATTAAACTTGTCGAATGTGTACCACAATAAATGTACCACAAGTACAATTGTTAGCGTTACTAACAGATAAGTGTTAGTGTGAAATATGTTTCTTATGTTTATTTTTCTACTTTAATGTTATTTTTTTTTATAGTTTTTGTTTTTAAAACTTTTAAAGCTTTTTAAATTTTTTTTTTTTTTTTTTTTTTTTTTTAATGTTTTGTATTTAATGAAATTTCTTAATAAGTAGTTTTATTTTTTTTAAAGTTTTATGTTAATTCTTAGCTTTTTTTTATTATGACAATTCTTAGTTCCCCCTCTGATACCCATTTCACAAAATAAAAAATATGTATATTTAATTATTTAATGTTTTGATCGTATAAAATAATATATGCTTTTAGTTGAGCAATTTTTTTTTTTTTATCAAATGCTAAATAACAAAGAGATCTCTTTTTTTCAAACTTTGTGTTTTCTAATTTTATTAAACCAATTGTTCATTATTTAACTTTTAATAAAAGTCTTGCACCCACGATGTGAAGTGCTTCCATAGCTGCAATCACAGTGCTGCGAAAATTAAAATTTTATTGAGTAAAATAATTTCATTTTTGATTACAAAAATATCTACAAAAATGTTGGTCTATTGTAGCGAATAGTTTGTTTTAGTTTTTCTTATTTAATATTAGACATTTATATTCTATAACAATAATCAAGTTATTTGCAATTGGTACCGAAAATCTTTGTTTATGTAAGATCGGTTACTGAATCTTATTCTTTATTTCTTATTACCTCTTTTTACCTAATACTTACTTGATTTCTAAATTTTAAATTTTTATTTAAATAAAAATTCACTCATGACATATAACAGTCGATTGACTATTATATATTATTCTCAGTGGGTTTTATGACATATAAATTTTTTATTAATGGCAATTAGTAGTAGTTTGTTTAACGACGGTTTTTTTAACAGCGATTTGGAGTAATTAGTTTAACGACGATTAGTTTATGTATAAAATCTTTAAATACTAAATGGAATTTTCAGATATGAAAAACGCGATAACACATCGCTCCACCCCAACAGAACTTGATCGTTAGAATAGTTAAACCTGGTGCTCCAAAGCAACTCTTTGCTTGACAGTTTCTTGTTGTATATTAGAAACTGGGATAGTTCACCATGAAAGGTATCGTTATAGTTGTCACTTCCAATAAGAAAATTTCGTTGAACTTCAGAAAAAAAAAATTTTTCGCTCAAATTAGTCTGTTTTTCCAGTTTACCATTTAAGTAAAGTTCAATTTGCGCTGAGTCAATCATTATGCAAATATGATTCCATTCATTATTTGAAAAAGCATGGTGAATGTAACTAAGTATTGTATTGTCATCCAGAGTTACAACTGCGTAACCATTTTGAAAAAATAACGAAATATTTGAGGACAATGTAAAGTACTTAAACACGAATTGCTTGTTGTTTGTTGGTTTGTCTTTCCCTTTAAACCAAGTACAAAAGGAACAAACATTGCACGACAGTTTATCGATAAAAGATGAGTAAATTATTTTGTTTTTATTATCTTGGTATAAACTCAGATCCATAGCATATTCTGAAGTGAAAAAAAAAACTTGTAATTTGTGTTTTCTTCTTAATATTTTTAAGCACTTAAAAGCATAAAAATTAGAGTTAAACAATTAAAACAGTTAAAATATTATTAAATATATCTAACCTGCTGAAAGAGTAAAAGATGTATTGCTTATGGTATTATTATTTGAATTTGATGTGTTCACTATTAAGAATTTTAAAATCTGTATAAAATTTTTTTTTTTTTTTTTTTTTTTCAAATTAAAACAAATTTATCCGATAAATCAAGTTGATCCAAGATTTCAAAAAGTTACTTTATAGTTATAAACTTTTTAATAAAAGAAATACGCTTGACAAAAAAAGGAAGTTTCTTTTTGGTTCAACAAGATTTGCCGGCTAACTTGGTTCCATTTAAAGATTTAGTCAACAAATAATGGCTTTAAAAGAAAGTTTTCATTTATTAAATCTAATTTAATTATCATGTTAAAAATTAAAAGTGTTACCTTGGTCACAATTAATGATTGTTTTAAAACACCTCGTGTATAAAATAACAAATATAACGGAGGTAATCAAATTGCAAGCAAACAATACAGCAAAAGCAATTTTGCTAATTTCTCGATATTTTTTTTGAATTTTTGCATTTCTTCCTAATCGATACATTATTGCAGATTCTTCAAAATTACTCCATAGCTCTTTAGATATGTTGAATCCTTTAAACATATTTTTGTTAAAACTTTTTAAAAAAAATTTATTTGATTTTGTTACTCATAAATAATAAAACATATTTTACGATAAAAAATAAAATAAAACAATGTCCCATTGAGACCAGACGTTCAACGGTAATTTTAATCTTTTTTAAATATTTAAAAATTTCATATTTTTGCTAGAATTAAAATTCCGCTTTAAAACGTTTTACAAAATTATTTTAAGTATTTTATCAGCGTTTATCATTTATTTTTATTTTTTATTTTTTTAATAACACATTTTATTGAAAAGATGTTATCATACAATTTATCACTAAAATGTGTTTTGATAAAGTACTTTAGGGAAAAAGTTATCGAAACATAGCCAAATAAAAATTATAAACACCATATTTTTTCAAATCAACATATTTTTTTTTGAATAACACATTTTTTTATTTAAATCATAAAAAATCATTAAAATAAACTTAATAATCTTTTATGTCTATATATTTATTTTAATAAAAATATATATATATATATATATATATATATATATATATATATATATATATATATATATATATATATATATATATATATATATATATATATAAATACATATATATATATATATATATATATATATATACATATATATATATATATATATATATATATATATATATATATATATATATATATATATATATATATATATATATATATATATATATATATATATATATATATATATATATATAAATACTATATATATATATATATATATATATATACATATATATATATATATATATATATATATATATATATATATATATATATATATATATATATATATATATATATATATATATATATATATATATATATATATATATATATATATATATATATATATGAATTATGTTAGTATATTCTACAAATAGAGTGCAAAATATTCTTAAAGAACAGAGCAATAATAAATTTAAATTTGATTATGTATAATAATTTAATTATTTCTTTCCGACATTGAATTTCGGAAAGAAACAATTAAAATCTAGGAAAGTGTAATCCACAAAAAAGAAGAACCGTTTAGATTTTTTTATTTCTAGAGTGATTTTCTTTTTATTAGCAATATATTGAAAATATTTTCGATAGATCCGTCCCAAAAAGAAGTTGAGTATTTGCATAGTTCCAAACTTTATAAATATTTAAGGCTTCAAATAAATACAGGAGAGGTTCACAAAGTTCTGCTTTATTAGTTCCAAATGCAATTTGACCAGCATTTTTTTTGTTTGTTTGAAACAACAAAAAAAACTGAAAAGCTTTTTTAGTGAATTTATTACTAAAGCGCTGTTGTGACGAGGAGGGGGAAAGGGGGTCTAAAATGTTCAAAAAATGCGTGACGTAATTTATGGGCTACCACAATTGGAACAAGATAAATTTACTTTTGTTAATAGAAAAAGTTTGTTACAAACTGCTTATTATTTAATTGATCATTAACGTGTTTAAAAAGTGTTTTAATATTTTGTGTGAATAAAAAAGATTAGAATCAACGCGCCTATGTGTTAGCTTGCAGAGTTTCTGAAGCAAAGCGCCGTGGTTCAAATCCTACCACTGGTACTTTTGAGCAGCCGTAGCGCAGTGGTTAGCGCGCTTGTCTCAGAAGCTGATTTGTGGTTCAAAGCCACATTTGGGTAGGATTTATAAAATTGATCAGGAAGGAAGCGTGAACTTCTTTTCAAATGTTCTTCTGCGTTGCTCTGTGACAAGACCGCAAGGACTTCTAGGGGCACCTAAAATAAAAACAAATAATAAAAAAAAGAATTATTGGCAAATAAAAAAAAATTAATAAGATTTGATGAAAAATTTAGATCATTTATGTTCAGTAGAAACAATAATAGCCCAATAATAGAACCCCAGCGAACCCCAGTTTAACAGCTTATCTTCATTGTTTATTTTTAAAAATTTAGGTTCTGAAAAAAAATTAAGTAAAGTTATACTTTAGTCAAAACTGAGGGGAAAATGGACATATTAAATGAAAAATTAATTTCATTATTTTTTAAAAAAGTCAAAATGTCAAAATGTATAGCATGTCAAAATGGGAAATATAACTCAACTTAAGGATCTATCTTAGAACGATTATTGTTTCTAGTATATATAAATGACTTATTTTTAGCATCTAAAAAGTTATATCTTATATTGTTTGCTGACGATTCCAATCTGTTTTATTCATACAGAGATATAAAAATTCTTTTTAAAATTTTTAATGAAGAATTATCTAAAGTAAATGAATGGTTTATAAGTAACCGCCTTTCACTAAATGTATTCATCTTGTTCCACAAACCAAATAAATTTGATAATATTCCACTTAAACTGCCAAATCTTTTATTCAATAAAACAGATGTAAAAAAGGAATCTACTGTTAACTTTTTAGGCGTAATTCTTCATGAAAACTTGTCATGGAAGTTTCACATCCAATCTATTGAAAGTAAAATCTCTTATAATATTTCCATAATTTATAAAACAAAACCATTTTTAAACATAAAAGCTCTGATGAAAATTTATTTTTCATTTATTCACAGCTATCTTTTTTACTGCAACATTGCATGGGGAAGTACTAATTACGGAAAACTCAAAAAACTTTATAGTGAACAAAAGCATGTTTGTAGGATTGTATTTAGGGCAAACAAAACTGTTTATTGCAAACCACTATTAAATCGTCTCAAGGACTTAAACATTTATAAACTAAACATTTACCAAACATTACTTTTTATGTTTAAAACGAAAGATGGAATATCTCCACTTATATTTCAATCTTATTTTAGCGAAATATCTCATAAGTATCCAACAAAGTTTTCAGAACATAACTTTATTGTTCCGAGAATAAATTTAAAAATAAGTTCTTATCGAATCCAATATCGAGGACCTTTTTTATGGAAAAATTTTATTAATAAAGAACACTACTCTTTAGAAAAATTTAAAACAGTTTCTAAAAGAATCTTACTTCAATTAGATTTTAATTCAATAGACTTTAAATATTTTTTTTAAAAGATAATTTTGAAATAGAAAAAATGCTTCCATTAGCACTAAATATATTTTGTTATATGTATCAAATATATTTGTATTAGTATACAAAACTTTCTTTATTTTCAAATTTTTAATATAAATGTCATTTTATTATTTGACAAAAGTTATGTACTCTTTAACGTTTTTTTGTATATTTTATTTATATTTGTTTATAAACACGGGCAATTTGTAAACGGGGCTCGGTAATTGTCTTCTTTTTGCTCAGGCCAATTTATATAAATGTAATATGTCTTTATTGTAAATGTATGAAATGGCAAAAAAAAAAGAAAAAAAAACTATTTGGTAACCCAGTAGGCTCTATAATAATAGATAAACTTTGGTTAGAAATTTATTAAAAAGTGATTGGTTTTATTTACTTTTCAAAAAAGAGTACCCAGCATGATCCTTTATTACACATCACAAACCATCAGCAAAATTAGTTTTTTCCAAAAGTCAACCTGCGTCTCTGTAAACACAGATGTTTTTATACATAAATACATATGTGATTTTACGTAAACACATGTGTTTCTATACATAAACACAAACTGTGAAATGGTGTGACTTTTAACTCGTGAGGTTACTTTAAACATTCGTACTTCAATTTGTTCTGTGAACAATAAATAAAAAAAACGAGCATTTTTTGTACTCATTTGTTTTGACAAAAGACAGCGGATATTATTCACTAAATATTTCTCGTGGTCGTGTGCGATTTGGTTCACGAAAAAACTTGTATAGAAAAGTAGATTTTGAAACATTAACAAAACTTTCAAAAACTTTCCATTACGTAAATGTTTTGATATAATGTAATATTATTGATGACATTAGCTGACTTTGACACAAATTAAACTTTCTTTGTAATGAAATGATATAAAAAGGATCTTTCAGAATTTATTTAGTGGGGTTACTTTAAACATAACTTTATATTTTCATTTTTGTAGTATTGTTACAATGGTTCGAGTGTTTAAGAAAAAACGTGGCTCGAGGAACTATAAAAATTACTCAGACGGTACTCTATAAAAGGTTATAGAAAATATATTTATATATATAAAAAGAAATGCTTTTAAGGCTAGCAGCTGCGTTTTTCAAAATTAGTGTGTGTGACGTTGTTTAATAAGATTAACAAGAAGCACGCTAGAAAAATCAGGTGGACAATCTATTTTCTCTACCACAGAAGAAATTATATTGGAAGCAATATAATAGCAATATAAATAATAATAGCAATATAAAAACAAAATAAAGTTAATAGTGGTAACTAGGAATTTCCCTTCAAATAATGTTCACCAAACATTATTTGAACCAAGAAGAATGCAGTCTCGAAAGTTCATAGAAAATTTTCCTGGAATAAATTTTGTTTACTCGATGTCAAAGAGAAATTTTTCTATTGATTCACAACCTCTCGGAGCAAACAAAAAACGATCCCGAGCTGGGCTGACCTTTGAAAGTATCTACAAGTATTTTGATAACTTGAGAACTACAATTGAGGGGGGTTACAGCTTCCAATATAAACAATTATGATAAGACAAATGTGACTGACAACCAAATGTTTATATAGGAAGAAAACTCAGAACTCTTAGAAAATTTTAAACCACTCAAAATCTGCAACATTTTTTATGGTATATGGATTTGAATGTGGACTCTATTATCATCCTATGTGATTTATAAGAATGATCACTTATGGGATACATGGTGTCTCAAAGACTCAAAGGGAAATCATTGCTGTGAGATGTCCTATTGTGCAAGAGGAACCCGTTTTTTGATAACCACAAGTGGATGGTTTGTGTGACAAAATTGGACTGTTACCTTCAATGATTGGTTCAAGAGAACTTTTCTACCATATGCAAAACTACAACCTGGTTGCAAAGTTCTAATAGGGGACAATTTGAGTTCTCACATAAACATATCAGTAACTTGTTATGAAAACAACATCAAATATATTAGCCTTCCTTCTAACCCAAACCACATTAGTCAATCTCTCGAAGCATCATTCTTTCGTCTATTCAAAAATGCATGGTGTAAAAAGCTAATTATCTAGGAAGAATACATATCCAATGTTTATGATCAGAATCAAAAATATTATTTCCCAGCAATTCTTACATAAAATTTGACGTTTATGGATGAAAGTGAGAGTAATGCGCTGGTTCACATGGTTTAATCAGCTGGTTCACAGCTTCAGGAATTTTCCTTTAGGAAAAATTCCTGATGTTTATAGAAAAAGAATTTTGATAAACTTTCAAAATGAATCGATACTCCTCTACAAAACATAAATTACAGTTTAACTTAATTACTTAAAGCTAAACGAGTCATACAACCAACAAATGGAACCAAACGATCTAAGATTCTTATCCTTGACATAAGTATAATTGCGTCTACTTCCACTCACGAAAAGTCTTATGCTGGGAGTGGTAATACGTCAGATGAAGCTTCTGAGAAAGATTTAGCACAATAAATAGAAACAGATAAAGTTATTTTATTAAATTATTGATTATCTAATATGCTCAGAACTAAAAAAATTTTGAAACATGCTAATAAAACTTTTACATCTAAGTCTACATATAGTATTTTAATCTAAAGACTTAAAGTGCTATAATTTTATAAAGGTTAGCCGGATTAACTCAAAAAAAAACAACAATATAATATGACAGCATTATATATGTGGCATGATACGGCTATTCCTTATATATTTATCGCACTTTAAAATTGAAAAATGTTCATATAGTATATTGTTAACTCTTCTAACTATATGTAAATATATATAAATTCAAAATTTAAAAAGTTAAAAGAAATGGATTTTTCCTTTTAATGTTATTGAGATTAAATTAATCTAAATATATGGTAGATTTGGGTAAAGTGGTAACATGACCAAAGATTTCTAAGGTGTCTTTTAGATCTGTGTAGTCTGTGAATCTGAAGATGTTTGGTATTATTCGGATTGACATTATGTTATGAGGTTATGTTATGACGTTATGTGGTAATAAAGAGAGAAGTAACACTATCGCAAATTTATACGCCCTAATTAGTAGCATTACACATTAAAGAATCTGTGGCGCGAAATCTTGATACCACAATGTAGATATTTATATTTTCATAAAGAAAAAATATGTTAGCTACGAATCCGTTTCATTTTTGTTTGGAAAACAATGGATAAGAACAGGGACGCCGCAAGCATTTTTTGGTTTTTGAGATAGCTAACTTCTAGACATGGAGCTAACTCCAAACATTTATATGTTTATACTTATGTCAAATAAGGATTCTCTGCAAAAAATTGCGATGATTGGAGCTTGGGAATAAAAAACTCTAAAATTTTGTCTCTCTTCCTGCCCTAAACGTAAGAGCAACAAGTTGATGAAATATTTTTGTGCTATTTTCAACTAGACTTATATTCTTCGATAAATTTTAAGTTTCATAGTAAAATATTTTAGCGTTCAAAAATTATAACCATATAAAGTTTCAACACCTTTGAGGGGGTTGTAAATTTTAAATTGTCATAATTTTTGAACGCTTTTTTAGACGCAGAGGTCTATACAAGATGCGTGAACCGAAGAGGTCTACACGAACGTGAACCGCAGAGTTAGACGCAGAGATCTATACAAGAATATGAAGCGATAAAGAAATGTCATCTCCTTGGATTACCAAAGGTCTCAGAAAATCGTCAAAAATAAAGCAAAAGCTATACATTAAATACCTAAAAACTTATTTGAAAAGCTTCGTAAAAATGAAAAAAAACAAACTGCTATTCAAACTTGCTTAATAAATGTAAGCACAATTCAAGACGTGTCGGGCCAATCATGATGGAGGCATCTGGAAAATTTAAACCAAATAAAAATTTACTCCCAAATTTTATACAAATTGACAACAAATTAATAAATGACTCAAATGATATTGCATTTGAATTAAATAAGCTTTTTACCACTGTCGGGACAAAATTAGGCGATAGAAATTCATTCATTAAAGATTAATCTGTTGATGAGTTCGAAACATCAATAAGCTCTAATCTAAATTTTACTGAGTTAGCTTTTAATGAATTTGAGGTTGCTTTTAAGTCATTAAAACGAAATAAAGCTACTGATGATGATATTAACACAAATATTGTGATTGATTCATACGATGATATAAAAGATATTCTTTATAAATTCTTCATAGCATCCATTGCACAACGGTCTTTTTCAGATAAACTAAAAATAGCAAAAGTAACTCCAATCTATTAGACTGACGATTGTACAAATATAACAAATTATCGCCCTATTTTAGTTCTTCCAGTTTTTTCAAAAATTTTAGAAAGAATAATATACAACCGATTCTACTCTTATATTGTTAAAAATAAAGTTCTATACGAAAACCAATTTGGTTTTAAAAAAAATAATTCAACCGAGCATGTCATTCTTCAATTTACGCGCAATATAACTTCATAATGATCTTCATAAATCATCCAATTTAACAACAATAAATTTTGCATACGACACAAATTTTTTTTTGTCTCATAAAGATATTAATATGCTTTTTACTAATATAACAAATTAATTAAAAAAAGTTTCTATTTGGTTTAAACAAAATAAATTGCCTCTAAATATAGAAAAACTAAATGGACCTTTTTTATCCACCTTCAACAAAAACAGAAACTGCCTCATATCATGCCAGACCTTTTAATCGATAATATAATAATAAAAAGATAAAAAGTTACTAAGTTTCTCTTAGTATATATTAATGAAAATCTATCATGGAGAAATCGTATTGATTATACCTTCAATAAAATTGCTTAATGCATCGGAATTCTCTATAAAGCAAGAAAGTAAACACCAGTTAACACAATTATATTATTCATTTATACATTGTCATATAAACGACGCCAATATTATAAGGGGAAGCACATAGAACAAAGCTAAAATCCCTAAAATATTAAAAAAAAGCTCAAATTACACAGTGTTTTTTAATGAATTTATATTTATTAATGTCCTTAAATAGCAATGGTTTAAATTGCTTTTTGAATAAAAGCATAACATAGTAAAACTTTTTATTATTACAAAAATACCAAATATCTTTTTGTAATTAAATTTCAAAAAATTTGTATTTTCATTGTTCAAAAGTTAGATAAAATAAAAACTTTTTTTTTTTTTTAATGATAAGTTTTGTTAATAAAAAGCTATTAAAAGTTGTCAAAAGTTTTGTAAATAAAAAATCATTAAATTCCGCAAAATAGCATTTCTTTATTTAATTAATATTATTTTTTGAGCTAATTTAAAGTGCTAATATTATCAATTGTTTTGGGTAGTAAAAGCACTTTCGCTACTATTTTAAAACTTTTTTTAAAAAGCGTTTTAAGAAAAAATTTCGGGTTTTCAAAAATCTAAGTTGATTGTGAGTAATGATCTCATAAATTTGTTTATTTTTAAAACCTATGGACCCACCGTAACTATTTTTGAAAATATACTGAGGTATTGATTAAACCATTTCTTAAATAACTTTTGAAATAATACTCTATTTAATAATAGAAATGAGTTAAAGTAGAAAAACGGATAAGTTTCCACTTATCCGTTTCACCTCTGGGTTGGGAAAGAAAAATTGGAAAAAAAAAAATACGTTACGCATGCGCAGTATTATTTTGGAAAAAATAAAATTTAAACGGTTTATAGTCACGTTTTTTTTTCCATTTTCTATTCTTGTAAAAAAATAAGTAAGTAGAATAGCTTAAGCTGATCGAGAATATATATACTCTTGCTTAGTCGTTTTTAATTTTTCCCATTAAATATCTACTTTATGTTTTGTTTATTTTAAAAACCAGAAAAAGTTTACAGTTTAAGTTTTTTTATTAATTATTTGATAGACTGCCTGCCCAGTGACGGAAATAAAATTTTTTGGTCGGAAAGGAGGGCTAAGGGATGTTGTATCTGGAATCACATTTGTGTCTTCTTAAAAGGTCCTCTATTTCTAAGATATTTTATGACTTTCAGATTCTGGTAGAGGGAAAGAAGGGGGGGGGGGGGGAGGAGAATTTATAAAAAAGATAAATTTAATTAGTTTCCTTAATTAAATTAGTGCGTTTGGACACTGTTAAAAATATAGCGCGTTTATTTTAAAATTCCTTTGATCCCTTAACACCAATTGACCACTTGTTTGTCTTATGATGAAAGAACTATCACCTGTGCAAGAAAAATATTAAAACATTAATTTCTCCTGCCAACTTCATATTTGCTGTATTTTTCAAATAAAATATAAAAATGAACTATAAAATAAGTTATAAAATAAACAAAAAATTAATTTAAAAATATTTCTTAATTATAAATCAAAAACAATTCTGAAGATTGATTTTTATTGAGATCAAAATATAGTGTCATCGTTTACACTGTATAGCGACATATCTGATCTTGGGAAAATAGTAGTATTAGCATTATTATCCGTCAATTGATTACTAGGCTCTTCTCTTGCATGAAAGTGAATGGCTGGTGACAAAGTAAGCGTTGAATTATAAAAAAAAGGTATTAATGAAAGTGTTTCGCTAGACCAATACTACAAACAAACAAAAAATACTGAGTTAAGCACAATTAAAAATATATAAATTAGTTTGTTATTATAAATACATTTAATATTTAAATAATAATAATTCTAAAAGCTTATTTTAAATAAAGTTCATCCTTAAATTGAATTAAAATCATACCACAGAGAGCAGTGCACCTTTATCGTATCCTCGAACAAAATCAAACATAAGTGGGGTTTCTTCAATTTCACCGTTAACAAATCCGCTATAATATACATATACTTATATATACACACGTACTATATATAGTAAATCGATTAAGTCATTTAAGCTTTAAACATTTATAATGCATAAACAAAATTTTTTTTTTCTGAAACATATAGACAATTATATCGATAATTGATATTGTAAAAGTAAAAAAATGAAAAATAAAAAATACTGTTCAATATTTAATTTAAAATAAAAACATATACTTTGACCGAACTTTCAATACCGTCTAATAAGTTCGGTCGCTATATAAATTATTAGCATCACAAACTTAACGTCGCAAATAATAAAAACTAATTTTTAAATATTATTTTATTGTAAAATGATGATATAATAGCAGTTAATATCAGTAGCTAAGGAGGGCGTCGCCCCGGGCTCAAAAAAAAAAAAAAAGTTTTTGGAGGTCAAAGAAAACAACAAAGAGCATATATAAAAAAAGGTTTTTTTTAAGTATAAAAAATTTTTTTTAATTATTATTATAATTAGTCAACTATTTTATTACATTAATCTTTCTCACTTTCTTCAGAGCTGTCGTCTATATTTTCAAAATTATTTAACAAGTGCTTATCAGAGTCTTTTTTCCAGTCTGCTAGAAAGCGGCATCTGTTATCCCTATTTTTAAAAATTTTGGAGAACGATCTGACCCGTCTACCGTCCCATTAATCTTCTTCTATCATAAGCAAGGTTATTGAGTCTTTAATTAACAAGCACTTTAGGGCTGTTCAGTATGCTAATTTGTTTTCAGAACATAGCTAATTGAAGTTTTTCCCATTCAACTATCATATTGTGGTTCAAAAATATTTTTTACTAAATTTTATTATTTGCCCTAAAGGTCGCTCAAAGCCCCTAAACATTTGACAGGTCCCTAATATTATTTTAAAAAAATTATTAAAAATGTCAACTTGGTACTCAAAAGAAGCAAAATTTTATAAAAATTTTAAAAATTAGATTCATTTTTTATAAAAAACAACTTATTAAAAATGTTGTGAATATTACCTTTTTTTTATTTTTCGTTTAAAAACCATAGTTTTTATTCAAAAAAACCTAAAATTGTTTTTTTTTATAAAAAATACTTTTTGTTTTTGAAATTTTTAAATGATTTTGCTTCTTTTGAGTACCAAGTTGACATATTTTTAAATAATTTTTTAAAAAATATTAGGGACCTGTCAAATGTTTATGTTTTCTAAATTTTATTATTTGCGACCTTCAGGGCAAATAATAAAATTTAGTAAAAAATATTTTTGAACCACAATATGATAGTTGAATGGGAAAAACTTCAATTAGCTATGTTCTGAAAACAAATTAGCATACTGAACAGCCCTAAAGCACTTAATTGTGAATCTCATAACTCTCATTGTGAATCTTACAACTTAATTTCTGATCATTAACATGAATTTCGATCTTCGTGTTCTACTGCTGATTTGTTAACGGTAATAACTGATAGGTTTTATCGTGCATTAGATAGATGTGGAGAGGTTAAGGCTATCTCTCACAACATTTCTAAAGGCTTTGATAAAGTTTAGCATGCTGGTCTTCTCCATAAGCTTTCTTTTAACAGTGTATCAGGTAACGTCTTTAAAATTATCGAAACCTTCCTTACCAATCTTAGTTTAAATGTTATCCTCGATGGACAGCACTCTTCTCCAATTCCTGTTAACCTCACTAGGTTCCTCAAGGTTCTATAATTAGTCCTATACTTTTTTTAATTTAAATTAATGATCTTTCAGAAATTCTTATATCTAAGGTGGGATTGTTCGCTGATACTACCATTTATTCTTGTCTTGGTAATAAGTCAATACTCTCTGATTGCTTGGAGGGGACATATGAGCTTGAGAAGGATCTCACTTCTGCTACAGCTTGGGGCTCTCAGTGGCTAGTGAACTTTAACTCTTTTTAGATAAAAATTATTTTTTTTAGCTAATCGTTATTACAACAATCTAGATCATCTTATATTTATGAACGGTAATGTACTCGATGAGTCATCTACCCTTTGTCTTCTAGGCTTAACTCTTACTTTTTTTTATTTTAAACATCTTCGCTTCCAACAAGGCTGCAAGCAACTACTAATTAGAGTCGGAAGCTACTGGAAGAAAAAAGATCAAGATTGTAGAGCAAGATAACGATTGACAGACTTAAAAGATTGCAAATTATATGAATCAGGAAAGCAAGATGAAGGAAGCAAATTCCAAAGAAATGTTCGAGGAAAAAAACTAGACGAATAAGAATTTTTAGAGCACTTAGGAAAAGTGACAGAAAAAGGATGAGACTTAATTGAATGACCAGTAACACAAAAATGACTTTTAGTAGATAGCACAAAAGATGCTAGCTCTTTAGAGCAGTGCCCAATCATAGTATTTGTAGAAAAGAGAATAAGAAGCAACATTACGACGATGCACTATGGTTTCTGAGACCCGATTTTTTGGAAGTAATCCATTTTTTTTAGTATTAAAAAACAATTTTTTATGCGGTATTTTAAAGTAAACTCTTAAAAGTGTTAATAAACGTGGTCTATTTTTAAATTAATAGCTCAGTTTGTTTGTAATATGCACTCAAGTTAAGAATATTTTTTACCTCAGTTTAGTTTACAGTGAGTTAAGGCCGTTTTCCACAAGACGAAATATTCGCGCGAAGTGAATTTTGTCTCTATGACGAAATGCTGTCTTGATTTCCACTTACTTTCGCGCTACTTTTTTTTCGTTGTCAACAATAAAAATGGCAGCAATAAGTTTACGCTGTATGTTTAACTAAAAGCAGTTATTACTTTTTTAGCATACTTTTTACTTTGTGAAAATTTCTTTCCGTGCATTAATATTAACATTTCTGTCTTTATATGTAAGATGTGATATCGTTTTGTAATATAATCATTTAATAAGTTATTTTTTACAAGAAAGAATAAAAAAATAAATATTAAACTCTGATATGAACATTTCTATTAATAAACTGTTACTGTAAGAACGAACAGCAGGTTTAACTCTATGTAGGGATTCTCACAAAAAGTATTATTTTTTTGTGAAAACAACATTCTTTCGCTTTTTTTATACTGTTGCTATTAAGTGATATAATATTCAAAACATGATTGGTTTTCGCTTATGGCAATTCGCTAAAAGTCGAAATGAATCCGACTTTTTTTTTTGTTGCACCGAAACACTGTTGCGAAAAAAAATCAGCATAATTGCTAAAAATGTTTATTCTGCGCATGCTTATCGACGAAAAAATTCGCTTCGCGTGAATATTTTGTCTTGTGGAAAACGGACTTTAGCGTAAAGCGAGCTGTTCACTTACTAATACATAACTTTTGAAATAAGTTGTAAAACATCAAAACAGCATCGTACTAACTAATTTTTCTTTTTTGTGATATTTTGGTCTAATTTGTATAGACCATCATCAGACAATAACTTTTGAAATAATTAATATTTTTGATTTCTGTAAAGTAAATTATTTTTGTTCAGGTATATATATTTTTTTAAAATTTAAGTAAATTAAAATGTTGCATTATTTTATTAATTATGTAAATGCAATTAGCTTAGATAGAGAACAGAATCCGGAGTAAGAAAGTGTCGAGCTCGATAAAGAGATGCAACCTTAGCAGATGCTAATTTTGTAACTATTGATGATTAAAAAGTTATTAGATTCAAGGTGAAAGATTAAGTGTTTGTTAATTAAAGATTCAAAAACCTTTGCATATGATAGGAAGAAGACTAATGGAACGGTAATGAGACGAATCAGATTGCTCTCCAGAATATTTGAAAATAGGGATAACAGATGCTGCTTTCCAGCAGGCTGAAAAACAAGACTCTGATAAGCACTTGTTGAATAGTTTTGAAAGTATAGACGACAGCTCCGGAGAACACTTTTGCAAGACTATAAAAGGTATGCTGTCCGGGCCACAAGCTGTAGAAGAGTTTAAGCAGGAAATCGTTTTAGATACAAAAGCAGGAGTGATATAAATGTCAAGCAATGGATCAACCTGTTTGACGGCTATATTAGGTAGAACACAACTAGTGGTATCAAGAGATGATATTTATGAAAATTTCTTAGCAAACAATTCAGCTTTGAATTGTTTGCTAAGAAATTTGTCAGTTCAAAGTCTAAACCATACAAGAGAGGTGGAATTACTGATTTGCACTTATAATTGATACTATTAAAGATTCTCCAGAGATCACGAGAGCCTAATTTTTGTGATGAAATAAAAGATTTCATGACTTCCGATCTTTCTTGGAAACCATATATCAAATCAATTGCAAAATTATCATCTGCTACTGTTGCATCTATTTATCGTGCTCGCCACATCACCTACTCCGAATTCTATTTTTTATCTCTATAAATCTCAAACCTGTCCTTAAATGGAATACTTGCCATCTTCGAATGATGCCCTTTCTCTATTAGACAAGGTGGATAAACACATTGTAAACATTGTTGGATTTTAGTCTTGCAGCCAACCTTTAATGTTGTTTCTCTTTCTCTTTTCTATAAATACTATAATGGGAGCTGCTCTAAAGAGCTAGTGTCTTTTATGCTATCTACTAAAATTCATTCTTGTGTTGCAACCTTGTTGGAAGTGAAGATGTTAAAAAAAAAGAAATTGTATAAGCTGTTTAATCCATGGCAGCTAGGTTTTGTAAGATCTCTGAAACCTTCTTGAATGAAAATTATTTAGGATTCTGCACCATTTACTTTTCATTGTCCTGAATAAGCCTACATCAAGTGGCTGCAGCCACTTGATGTAGGCTTATTCAGGATAGTGAAAAGTTATTGTTTATAAAAAAGGGTTTGCAAACATCTCAAACAAATTTTAATTTACCTTATAAAATTTGTGCCTTTTTTATTAAAAGAAAAAATTTACTTTAAATATCTATAGACAAACATATAATTTTAGTAAACACCATCAATCAATAGTGCCTGGCTGAGTCATCAATGCACGGTTTGATGGCATATTATTTGACAATCTGAGCGATAGCTTATCGCAATGACATCTGATAAATGAGTAATAGCAAGTAAGTGTAAATTCGCTGCCATCAAAACAATTTGATTTGAACTAAGTAGCTATTTAAAACATACAGTATTTCAAGTCTTGTCAAACTAAAACCAGTATCACTTATAAATATTAAAATATTTTCTAAAATGTTTTTAACATTCTTGCTTAACTTAGTTACCATTTTTTTAGTATACTTGCTGTTACTTCTGTAAATGGAGGTTGATCTTTTGAAGCCAAATGTTATAACTGCTTTCCTTTAATTCTTACCTTCACCCACAGCCATCAAACACGAGCCATCCGTGCTTTATCGCGTAAATTAATAGATGACATTGATATATTAACATGCAAAAGAACTATTTCAGTGCATTGCAATATATATTATTGATTTGTAATAACTTCATATCAGCGATGTAAATTTATCAGTAAATTTTATTTTAAAACAGGTTAATTTTTAAAATAAACAAAATAATACCTTATGAGTAGTTGTCAAAGAAACCTTTTTTACCAAAATAAAAATACAACAGTTTTATTTATAAAGTTAGTTGACAATATTTTATATCATTCTTAACTAAGTTGAATTTAATTTTAAACACAACTTTTATTTATTAGGTAACTACACTCAAAGAGAGTTTTTATTTGCTTCTATTTATTAGGTAACTACACTCTTCTATTTATTAATAGTATCCATTGAAATAACTCATATTAGCAATACTCTAGAATTAAAAAACTAAATATTCACTATATTTAATATTTATATAAATAAAATATATATCAAAAACTTTTTTTATCTAAATTTAAGATTAATTACAGCAACTTATATTTAATTTTAACTTAAAATTTTTTTATTTATTTAAAATATTTAAAGGATTTTATAAAACTGAATACATTTATAAATAGCACACCTTTACAAATCACATTTATTAAACACAAAGAAAACTTAATAAAGTTTTCTTTGTTTTCTTCTAATATATAAGTATATAAATAACACAAAAAAAACTTTTTTTTTTTAATACAAGAAATCGATAACTTACCATGGTATTAGTTGAAGAACAGGAGAAATTTTTGTATGGAAAATTGCAATATATGGGGAATCTGTTGAAGCATCTCCTAAAACCATATAGTTGTATATGAGGATATACGTTTTAAAGTTACTTAAAAGCTATACAAAAAATCATGATATCATACAAATTATAGGTAAACCAAAATAAGCAAAACACATAAACACACAAAAAAAAGCAAACACACTTAAACTAAGAAGTAACCCTGACGAATTAGTAATTTTTTTGAAAATTGTTGAAAAAATCTTTTTTTTTTAAATACCTTTAAAAAACTAAACATCTTAGACCCACATTTATGGGCATATATTTAAAGACCACATTTATATAATTTAAAAACATGTATACAAGTTAACCCTTTACTTGGCCTTGACGCCAAATGGTGTCATTGACTTTTAATAAGAATTTTTTTATGTTCCATATAAGGCAACACGTATAAGTTACTTTCGTGCATATACTACTCTTATACAAATAAGAAAATAAAGAAGTTAAAGTGTTTTAGCATATTTTTGATGTTTTTAAACAACTTGGTAAGTAACTAATTGTATTTATAATAACTTTGATTTTACTCACAAGATGTAACTATTGAATTTGTAATATTATACATGGCTTTGAAGTATATTTATACTTTGAAGTATATATGTGTAAATTTAGATATTATAATGTTAGTTTTTATAATCAAAAAACTTATTGTTTAGCTTTAATTGTTTTCTTTCTATAATATGTAAAACATCTATGATTCCGTATGGAGTCACTGCCAAATAAAAAAGTCATTTTGCAGTGATTTGCAAATTTTTGTAAACATTTATTTTTAGACATCATGAATAAAAAGAGCAAATTTAATCTTCAAGATGTTATAGAATTTTTAACCAGTGGGAATATTACGGATCTGTCTAAATTAAGTGATGACGATGATGATGATGAAATAATAGATGATCCCTATATAAGTTCAGACAATGAATGTAGTACTGATGATGAAGAACCCAATGAAGATAAACCCTTATCTATGATTCTGGATAACTAAGCATTACCTGACTTTTAATATCAGCGGAGAAAAAAAGACACTTCACAAGATACCTACCTATTCAATGGAAAGTATTCTGATCCACCTGATATTGATACAACACCATTATTTCAGCTGTTTTTTTTAAAACTCATTAATTGATTTGATTGTTGAAAATACTAATTTATAGTGTCCAATGTACTGACAAAAGTATTAGCACAACATCTGATGAAATTCAAAAATTTATTGGGATGCATATAGTAATGGGTATTATTGTAAAAGATTTTAACTACTCAAGCCTTACTTGCATTTTTTGGATAATACTCTGGAAGTAAATACCATACACATACAATGTTTGAAAAATGAACCTGAAGAATCATATTTAATAGACAAACAGATTATTCCATCAAAAACTTGATATACAAAAATTAGACATTTAATCCAAAAAACCCCTAAAAATGGGTATTTAAATATTTAGTTTGTGCTGGGGCCTCGCGATTCATGTATGATTTGTATATATATTCAGGAAAGAATGAAGCCATAGATGAAAAGTATAGTCACCTACAGAAGAGTGCACAAGTAGTAGCAAAACTATGTGAAAACATATAAATCATAAGTTATTTTTTGATAACTGGTTTACCAAAATAGATCTGATGATATATTTAAAACAAAATGGAACTTTTGCTGCAGGAACTATTAAGAGAAATCATATAGCTGGACATCTGGTTATGTCAAATAAAGTTATCGAAAAAGAAGATCGTGGTGTATTAGATTACTATTTTGATAATAATTCTGACATTATTATAGTGAAATGGGTAGACAAAAGCACGGTGCAACTAACATCAAATTATATTTGTATTGAGGCAATGAGTACGATTAAAAGATGGAACAAAACAAAAATGAATCGAACAGATGTCCCTTGTCCCCATATTGCAAAGTCTTACAATCAAGGGTGGTGTTGACTTAGTAGAAATGTTGATATTTTTCAGAATAAAAGTAAAAACACGTAGGTGGTACATAATAGTTTTCTGGCACTTGGTGGATATTGCTAAGGTTAATGGTTGGATTTTGTACTGTCATCATCAAGATCAACATTGTATACTGAAACAAACACAACAGTCTCTACAATTTTTTTCTCTAGAGCTAGCAGACACTAGCTCCAGAGAAAAAAATAATTAAAACTAAAAAATAATTAAGTTTGTACATGGTTCCAGATCACCCAGCGAAACAAAAAAGTATGGTACCAACAAAAAGTAGAAGAAAGTCTGCAATTGCAAAACCTCATGATGAATCAAGATACAATTAAGTAGGCCATTGGCTATTGCCTTCAGAAATGAAACAACATTGTTATGTCTCTAAAGCTTATGTTAGGATTCAGTGTGAAAAAATTTATTTATGCTTAGTTGCTGATCGAAATTGTTTTCGAGACTTTTATTTAAAAAAATAAATAGATTTTTAAAAGTATTTGATTTCTTTATGAGAGTTTTAATGTTACTTGGCACAAATTTCGTATAATATGATTTCAAATTTGGGTCTAAATTTTTCTAATTTTTTTTTTTATATGGATAACTTTGCTTTTACATCCGAATCAACTCATAAACGGCAAAAATATTTTTTTTGAGATTTTTTTAATAATTTGCCAAATAAACACATATATATTTAATTAAAAGCATGTTATATTTCAAACCTAACTGTTGTCCCTGTGTAATAAGTATAAAAACTAATAATAGTAATATATTTTTTACGGAAAAGAAGAAATCCACTGCAGGGTGGTAGCCCGTTTTTTGAGAACCAATACCTATATTTTCCATTAACTGTCAGAAAAACTCAAAACGGTACAATCACGATATTAAATTCTTCATCTTTGCAAAAAAAATTTGGAGGAAAAGTTAAATACAAGTTACCTAAATGTTGAATTTGCAACAAGGCAATTTTAACACTTACAAGAGTGTGAGTAAGAAGCAATGATAAAAGTTTTCAAAAAAATAAAAACTTTAACAACTTAATACAGACTTAACTAAGTTTGATTAACTTTTATTAACTTGAGCAAGAAAAAAATGGAAAGCTCCTCATAATATTATTTTAACTGATAAACTGGAATGAAATTCTTTTTAAAAAAATTAATGATTAGTAATAAGTGATAAAACCTACGGATCTGAATTTATAAATATATTTAAAAATCCGGATTTAACTGAACCTGAATGATATAAATCAAAACAAGAGTGAAACAAAATGAATATTGATTTAAATTTTTTATTTTTTGGAAATTATAAATTATAGTAAAAATAAAAAAAAAGTAATTAATCACAAAAAGAAGAAAACTTAAATCACATACAAGCTTTCAAACAAACAATAAAAATAAGGCTTGTTTTTTTATGTAGAAGCAAGATCTCACATTGTGGAGAAGCAAGAAATGCAACTAAGTCAAAATATTTTGAAGTGGTTTGCTAATTGAGTTTTAGTTGTTTTATGGCCTACTTAATTACACGGCCGGACTTGTCGCTTACAAGTCCGAAAAACAGTTTTTTACGATTTAACTATTATTTATTCAACTAATATTATCCAAATATTAGAGCAAGAAAATATATTTCAACAAAATATATAACTTGAGTAAAATATATAAGCAAAAAAAATTTAGCTACGAAAAAATATATATAAAATATAACTTACCCAAAAATAAAATAGTTTTTATAAAAAATACAAAAGCAAAACTTCCACCATAAATTAGTTTTAGAAAAAGATGACAGATATAGATAAGCAAGTCAAAACAAAAATTAAATATACAGAATCTAAACAAAAGTGCATCAAAATCAGTGCGCGACTACTACATTGAGCGACAAGGCCAAGCAAAAATCAAGTTTATTTTTTGTTGTATCAATATTTAAAGGCTTCTTCATCTTTTCGAATTTTTCTATTTGAATAGATTGTTCATTTATTATAAAATATATTAATAACAGTTGTGTAAATATACTGTCTTCTTGTTTCTTTATGGTCAGAATACATAAAACAAATGTTATTTTTGAACAGTTCAAGTGCAACTAGGGCTGAACCTTTCAATTTGTTGTAATATTTAGTTAATAACAATTCTTTAGTGATGTCTAATATGTAAAATTAGGAGCAAACATATTTTATCATGTTTTCACTAGGTTCAGCTAAACCTCCCCTTAGGGGTATTTCCATATAAAGTGAAGAACTTTTTGAGTTTGAATAAGATCTTGAAAAAAAGAACACTTAAACTTGGATTTAATTTTTTTTGTTACATACCCAGTTCAACTTCCTTTAAACCATATTCTTCTATTTCATTTTGTAATAAAAGAAAAGCTGTTTCTAGTTCTTTTGCATCATTATTTACTGGTACTTCATTATTAAACCATGTACTCAATGCCAGAGTTTCTTTAATTAGAGATTTTAGGCTGATTATATTTTCAGAACTTTTAACTTCACGCAAAATAACTAGAAACCTTCCACCACTCATCTGTCTAAGTTTCCCAAAATGTTTTTCAAGAGGATCAGTTTGAAATGTGCTAGTTAAAATGTAATCATATCCTTCTGAAATTAGCAGCACTTATTTCTTTTTGAAAATAACTTTTAATGGCAGAATATGTTGACTTTTGGAAAATTAGCAAAGCAAGCACTCATGTTTATTCCACACTCATTATTATTAATAAATGAAAATTACTTAAATTGCTGTTTATTTAAAATGTGAAACTAAATTATTGAAATGAAATAAATATAATATTTTTAAATTGTATTAACATTTTTTTTTGAAAAAGTTGTGAACATTTTTTTTTTTAATAATAAAGTAGTCTTTTTAAAATAGTTATTTTTAATCATTTCATTAGTAAGTCAAGTTTTAAAAAAATAAGCTTTTGAACAATTCTTTGTAAAAATAGAAATAAATAAAAAAAAAAATAAAGCATTTAAATCATTCCATTGCAATGGGAAAGTTTGAATTAAACTTATTCATAATTTAATGTATTTAAAAAATTTAATCTTATAAAAGTTTATTAAAAAGACATGGAAAAATAATTTCAAATGTTTAAATTTAT